ACACACACACACACACAAGGGGCATGTAAAAAGTTTGTGAGAAAATGGAATGGAATTCTTCCGTGAACTTTTCTTGTTAACTCTGTATTGTGAGTTGAGAGAAGGTTTACAGAGCAGATCGTCAGCTTTACACTCTGCATATCCTACACTTCATTTCCTGACAATGGCTGCAATCCCCTCCATGGACGACCATCATTTATCCTCAATTCTTCCCTGTGATTCATGTTTCCATTCCACCTTCTTTCCCTATTCTTTTGAATTCTGTCCTGAGGTAAATACTATTCCAGTCTTGAACGGTTGACTGCTCCATGGTGTGCATACCTAACTATTGTTGTGTGACACTTATATACCTATCTGCGGCTTGACTGAAAACTGAGCCACGAGGCTGAGTTCAGTTGCAGACCCAAAGGGTAACTAAGAGCCATAGTCACAGGTTCCTCCTCTCTTTCGTATACAAGCTTTCCTGTTTTATATAGAGAACTCAGCCTCAGACAGAAAGTATACATTTTTAAATTACTTTTTCAAATTTTAAATACTAACTGTGCTCCCTAGTCCTCATGCATTGCTTCCACTCATAATACTATTGAGAGCAGGTGGTTTGAAAGGTTAGTTTTTACCTGATGGTGTTGTTTTAATCCAAAATGTAACCTGAATATTTCATTTATAAGTGAGCAGTCTCCACTGAGGTTAGCAGCTCGAATCTATCACAAAGACATAAAGCAAATAAACATTCATGTTTTTTATGTTTAAAATAACAACCACTTTTTTTAATTGAAAAAAGAATATAAAATCTGTGTTTTTCAAAGAAGAGAGTATATGTAAGATTTTCTTTAAAATTTTTATAAGTCTAGTGACTTGGGAACTCCATAAATTAAGAAAAAGCAACAAACACCCATGAGTTACACTAAACAATGCCAAACACGCTAGGGATTGAGGAAAGTTCAATCATCTACCAAAGGGAATTTATTAAACTTTAAACTGCAGTCTTACTGGCACAACTGACTTCTTTTGAAACCAAAAGTCAGAGAGAGTTAGACCTTAAAGTTCCTGATCTTCAAGACACAAAGACACTGCTAGAAATTACTAAAAGGGCTTTAAGAAGGCATTCTTCCAAAGATTTACAAACTGAGTTTATATGTGAGCTAAAAACTAGAACATATCAGTGCTTAAGACATTTTGGGCATATGAATCTCCCAGCCCTAGTAGTCTAATCTTTGAAACTCTCTTGAACCTTCCTTCAAACCCACACAAGTTCAAGACATTCCTCCGGGGCTTAATGTCCCAAGAAAAATTCTATAGTACAAAACAGTTCTCCACACAACATAAAGAATCAAAAACATTCCAAATGGTCATGCTAAAAGCATGACAGCCTAAAGTCAGGATATGTTTTTTAATTAACTATTTTTTTTAATGGAAAAAAACAACTTTAATAAATAAAAAAGTCTTAGAACTAGCCACACTTGTAGATCCTACAGCCAAAAGTTGGCCATATTTTTGTCAGCTCCCTGCAAGCAGAGTGGCCCACTCTTTGTTATTTCTACAGCAACAAGGCCTTATTGCTCTGAGGAGCTCAAAGCTCCTAACACACTTTGATTAGCTAACGCATTAACTTTCATAATACCCAAAAGAGAAACTTATTTAAAAATTCAAGTTTAGTCTACTCTCCAAATCATATGAATTATAATTAGATGCAATGGGACCACTTATTAATTTCAAAAGAAAGAGAAAATAAGGTATAAAATATAAACCTGAGATTCACATTGGTTTTGGATTTTTTTACCTTCTCCTCATACTGCACTCCTCAGTTAATGGAATCTAAGTTGAAACACATATGTCTCCCTAAGAGCATAGATATGTGTATGTGAATGTGTATATGTGCAATTCCAAGCACTTGATAATAAACATATTTGTATGCTGTAGTTTTGTGACCCATCCCATTTAAGATGACTATGTTGTTGTTGTTGCTTTGTGCCGTGGAGTCGGTTCCGACTCATAGTGGCCTTGTACAGGGTTTCCGAGGCTATAAATCTTTATGGGAGCAGAAAGCCTCATCTTTCTCCCACAGAACAGCTGGTAGTTTCAAACTGCTGACCGTGAGATTAGCAGACCGATTCGTAACCACTACGTTACTAGAGCGCCTTATACTAAATGCTTTATTATAGGACAGCAATCTATGGACACCAGTTAAGAGCCTGATTGTAATCCTGCCTGGCTTGAGTACAGTCCTGCCTCTGCCAATTAATTGCTAACAACAGTATTTGAGGAGTCCTGATGTGGCACTGTAGGATAAGCACTGGACCACAAGGTTGGTTTGGACCACAAGGTTGGCGGTTCAAACTCACCAGCCACTCCTCAGAAACTCTATATAGGGTAGCTTTGAGTCAGAGCCAACTTGACAGCACTTAACAACAACAACACAGTATTTAAGGAGTCCTGGTGTGGTGCTATAGGATAAGCACTGGACTACTAACAACAAAGTTAAGGATTCAAGCCCACCAGCCACTGTTTATAAACCCTACATAGGGTTGCTATGAGCTGGAACCAACTCGATGACACTTAACAACAACAGTATTCTATATTGTTCATGCTTTACAATACATATATATTATTCAAAAAAAACAAGGATAATAGTATAGTAGTTTCCCCAGTGGGTTGTTGTGGAAATTTAATAACAATCCATACTAATGATTAAAATAATTTAGCACATAGCCCTCAACAAATGTTAACTATTTCATACAATAAACACTGCACTGTGAACCACAAGGTCCACAGTTCGAGCCTGCCAGTCCCTCCATGGGACAAAGATGAGCCTTTCTGCTCCTGCAAAGATTTAAAGCCTCAGAAACCCTATATAAGGTGGTTATGAATTGGAACTGACTGAACAGCACTTAAAAACAAAAACAACATTTCTATTATATTTACACAAGAGTGCTTTAAAACATTCATGAAAAAATAGAATTAAAGATAATGGCATTTTCCATGAACTTTTTATTTTTTCATAATAAGAACATTTATTAATATGGAGGAATCACTTCAAATTTATAAATTCTTATATTCTGACACGGCATCATGATAGATTTCTCTGCAAGTCCAGAAGCTGGTGCTTAACTGAAAACTCAGTTTAGGGTGTTAATAATAGCTTCTAATAAGAATATAATTTTATAGTATTTAAATTGAGCCCTGGTGTGGCACTGTAGGATAAGCAGTGGACTGATAAGCACAAGGTCAGTGGTTCAAGAGTCACCATGAGTCAGAACCACCTCAATGGCACATAACAAGTACAACAAGTGCATCATTATTATTATTTTAAAGATGCAATGAGATTGCCAAGTTTTATGAATCTCAATTCAAGGCAAGACACAAAGCAGTTGTTCAATTAATACTAACCCCTGAATTTTTTGAAGCCCCTCATATCCTATGCCTGATGCTGCTGAGTCCGTTCCAACTCATAGTAACCTAGAAGGACAGAGCAGAAGTGTCTCAGAGGGCTTCCCGGGCTGTGATCTTTACAGAGTCAGGATACCACCACATCTTTCTCCAGGAGAGCTGCTCATTAGGTTCAAACAGCTGACCTTTCAGTTAGCATCCAAGCATTAAGCCACTGCACCACCAGGGACCCTAATATAATGTATTCAGTAGGAAAACATTATCATGTCTTACATAATTTAATTCTAACATTTAATAGCCATCACTACTGCTAGGCTATTTAAAGACCTTAAAGTTATTTAAGATAATCCTAAAAAGAGATTTAAAATTTCTCTAGCTTTATCTCAAAAGCTCAATAAGTTAAGATCAGAAATTCAAGACTAAAGTGACATGATGTCAGTAAAACTAACTATATTTGGGAGACAAAGTGACACAAAGTCACTTGATAAAATCCGAAAGAACAAAAGAGTCTTCTACAATAAAACTCACCTCTGAGCAGGCCAAATGCCTGACATTGGTAAACCAGTCAACGTGCGCACGACAATGGTCAAAAGCATGAATGAGCTCGTGGGTGACCACTCTGTTCATATGGGCCTGGTTACGGATATTATTTTGGCACAAAACAATCTAGGAGACACCAAAACAAGAACTGTTAGGCCATTTCTAAAATCCACTCTCATTTCGTAGAATCCATCTTCTCTCCCACACTAAGGGGGTAGGCAGGGCGACCACCTGCTTGGAATGCCTCTGCCTGCCCCATACCAACCCACTGGAGATGCTCCACTGAGCCTTCCTCAGTCACTAACTTCTGCCTTCTCTCTCCAAACTGTAATGAACTAATTAACTATGGACACTAATTAACATGCCAGACGCATTGGGCTGACCATATCAGTCTGTCTTGGACTTCACAGCATTATGCCCAAGAGATGGGCTTTGGAGTGAAGCAGACTAGTTCAAATCCCACCCTTTTGCAATTGGGTGACCTTGGGCAAGTTTCTTAACTTCTCTGTGTTCAGTTGCCTCAACTATGAAAAGGAGATCATTAGAGTACCAGCCTCACAGAATTAAATGAGAATATATGTAAAATGCTTCTTATCGAGTTTTCTGAATGAGAATTAAATGAACAATATATGCACACTGGTGGTGTCCTGATCCTACTAGAATTGCCAGGAAAAATCCTCAGAATGACCTTCAGAAAGAAACACAAAAAGCCAAGGGCAAACTGAGCAGGATCCTATAAGAATAACAAAAACATGAGGGATCCTAATAATAATAGCTACCCATTTATTATATGTTTATTATGTGCCAGACACTGAGAAAAGTGTCAGATATTTTATATATATTCATCCAACGTCCATTCATTCAACTAACATGTATTGAAACCTAATCCTAACTTTTGAGGAATTTATAATCTATGGATGAAGAAAGAAATGAACCACACATTTACTAAACTCTTTAAACATGTGCAATGGCACTTAACATGAAGAAAAGCCAGGTTGTCATACAATGAATGAGGGTGTCTGACCTGGTCTGAAGGGCTGGGAAAGGCATCTCTGCAGAAGGAATGGGATCTGGAAGCTAAAGGATGAGTGAGAGTTAAGTTTGAGGAGCAGGTGGAAGGGGGTATTCCAGACTGAGAGAAAAACACATACAAAGTGCAAGGAGTGAAGGAGCAGAATGCTCCAGACTCTAAAAGCAGGACCACAGAGCTGAAGCATAGAGAGTTGGAGGAGGTGGCAGGCAGGAGATAGGGATGGTATAGTGGTGGTGGTTGGTGGTTATGTGCCGTGGAGTTGGTTCCGACCCATAGTGATCCTGCACAGGGTTTCCGAGGCTGTAAATTTTTATGGGAGCAGATAGCCTCATCTTTCTCCCGCGCAACAGCTGGTAGTTTCAAACTACTGACCTTGCGGTTTGCAACCTGATTCATAACCACTACGCTACCAGAGCTCCTAGGGATGGTGTAGTGGCAGGGGCCAAACCACTGAAGGCCTTTTCCTTATCCTGACAGCAACAGGAAGTCACTGAGGGTTGAAATAGGGTTAAATACTTTTGCTTTACTCTGTTTTTATCCTTTTGACTATAATGAAGAGAGTGTGCACAAGATGACAAAGACTACATGTAGATATTAGCTAAAGGTTATTAAAAGTATTCTAGGCAAAAGACAATAGTACTTGAGCTAGGAAGGTAGGAGCAAAAAAACGAGGTATTTGGGAGATAAATTGGACAACATTTGGTGATAAAATATGGAAAAGTGTCAGAGGTAACCAGAATTACCCCTAAATTTCTGGCTTGAGTAATAAAATGGATGATGGTACCACTCACGGAAATATGCAAAACTAAAAAAAGATCAGGTGAGGTGGTGATAAGAGATGGCAAAAATCATCCATTTGGACTTGGTCTGAGGTGCCTTTGAGACACTCAAATACAGGTGTTAGTGGGCACTTGAACATATGGAGAACTAAGACCTAAGAAAATAAATGGAATCCCTTTGGCAGAGTAGAGTTAAGAAGAGAAGAGTATCTAACATCAAGCATTAAGAGATTTCAACATTTAAGGGCTGCGAGAGGAAGGTACGCTAACAAAAAAGAATCCAAAAGAGCACTGTGATCTGGAAATCAAGGGAAGTATGTATGTTATTATTACCTACTAAAGTCAAGCATGTGCATGTTATATAAGCCAGCAATTCCATTTGCAGCCTTATACCTTAGAGAAATTCTTGCACATACGCGCCATCATAGAACAACAAGAACATTCATAGCAGCATTGTTCATAATGACAAAACTGGAAACAGGAGAAACTGTAGCACAGACATACAATGGAATACAACATAACAATGACTAAACACTGGGTTGCTAATCACAAGGTTGATGGTTCAAACCCACCAGAAGCACCTCGGAAACCCTCTACAGGGTCGCTGAGTCAGAACTGACTCGGTGAAACTTAACACATAACATGGAAGAATCTCACAAACAATGTTGAATAAAAGAATTAGGTTACATAAAACTATATATGTGATATTTCATTTACATAAAACTTGGAGTATTCCATTTACAAAGTTCAAATTAAACAAAATAACACATTGTTGGGGGGTACAGATACATGAATAGGTGGTAACATCACTTGAAAAAGCAGGGAATGGTTACCACAAAGTCAGGATAATGAAGGGAGGGATGCAAGTCAAAAGGCACACACATTTCTAAAGTCTTAGTTAGCAAGGGTCTAATTCTTAAACCTGGGTTGTTGTTGTTGCTGTGTACTGCTGAGTCAGTTCCAACTCATAGCAACCTCATATAGGGTTTCCAAGACTGTAAATATCTACTAGAGAAGAAAGCCTCATCCCCACCCCCACCCCCAGGGCAGCTGGTGGACTTGAACTTCTGACTTTGTGGTTAGAAGTGTAAAGCGTAACCCACTATGCCAACCAGGGCTCCTTTTTAATCCTGTATGCCACTTTATTATTATTATTATTGAAAGTGTACATACAGACTTTTGATACTCTTCTGTATGCATGAGAAAGGACTCCTCATAGCACAATGATCAAGTGCTCAACTGCTAATCAAAAGGTCGGCAGTTCGAACCCAGAAGCCACCCTACAAGAGAAAGATGCAGCAGTCTGTTTCTGTAAAGATTACAGCCTTGGAAACCCTATGGGCTAGATCTACTCTGTACTATAAGGGGGCTAGAAGTCAGAATTTGACTCAACAACAATCGTTTTAGCTTGGTATGCATGAGATAGTTCACAATAAAAATTTTAATTTAAAAAATAAAAGGAGACAGTTATCAACCGTGTCCAACACCTTTGAAGAAAATTCAAAAGGTCTGCCATATTTAACTACAATAGGAGTGAATTTACTAAGTCACTCCTGTTGTGGTTAAATACAGGAGTGACTTAGTAAATTTTAGTGAGATTCATTTTAGTGAGCGCTTTGGTTACTACGGAGTCCTGGTGTGGTGCTGCAGGTTAATGCAGTGGACTGCAAGGTCATTCTGAACCTCAAGGTCAGCAGTTCAAGCTCACCAACTGCTGCTCCTGAGAAACCCTATACAGCGTCACTATGAATCAGAACAGACTTGACGGCACTTAACAATAGGTTACTATGGAGTCCTGGTGTAGCGCTATGGATTAATGTGCTGGACTGCAAAGTCGGTTTGAACCACAAAGTCAGTAGAATAGTTCAAGCTCACCAGCCACTCCTCAGAAACCCTATACAGGGTCGCCATGAGTCAGAATCAACCTGACAGCACTTAACAACAACAGCAACATGGGTTACTAAGAAGTTCTGGTATGGTGCTATGTGATAAGCACTGGACTGCTAACTGCTGGTCAGAGGTTCAAACCCACCACTTGCTCCTTGGAAACCCTATACTGGGCTGGTATGATTTGGAACCAATTCAATGGTACTTAGTAACAGCAATAAGTACCAATAATAACCAATAATCATAGGTACCATGATTACCCATTTACAAATGACTATGAATAAAAACAAGTAACTTGCCCAGGGTCCCTCCCGGACCCTCTTTTGTCTTACCACAACTAATAAGCACAGGAACTGGGATTAGAACCCAAGTCCGTCTGTCTGACTCCAAAATCCAGACTTGATATGCTGCTTTTTCCCAGGATTCTTGTCTCTTTCCTGTGACTGGTACAAAAAAGTACACTATAGAAGGTAGAAGGTAAACATATAAAATTCTACAGCCGGAAATAAATTGCTGTTGTTGTTGTTAAGTGTCATCAAGTTAGTTCTAGCTCATAGCTGGTGGGTTTGAACTGATGACCGTGTGGTTCACAGTCCAGTATTTCCTACAGTGCCACACCAGGAGTCCAGGAAATAGATAAGAGTAGTTAAATGTAGGTTTTATCTCAAGATGATTTATTGTTGTTAAGTACCAAGGAGTCAGTTCCAACTCATAGTGACCCTGTACAGGGTTTCCAAGGCTATAAATCTTTACAGAAGCAGAACACCTCATCTTTCTCCCTCAGAACAGCTGGTAGTTTCGAACTGCTGACCTTAGTAGCAGTTACTTATAACATCTTCATCTACTTTTGTCACGCAACATGTATCATCCATCCATCACCTCCAAAACACTGTCATAACCATCTTGTAACTTCAAACTAATAACAACATTTATTGAATGCTAACTGTGGACCATGGAGTCGGTCCGACACCTTGCACAGGGTTTCCGAGGCTGTAAATCTTAATGGGAGCAGAACACCTCATCTTTCTCCCACGGAACCGCTGGTAGTTTCAAACTGCTGACCTTAAGGTTTGCAGTCTGACTCGTAACCACTACGCTAGGAGCTCTGGTAGCATAGTGGTTACGACTTGGGCTGCTAACCTCAAGGTCAGCTGTTTGAAACTACCCAAGCCATTCTGTGGGAGAAAGATGAGGCGGTCTGCTCCCGTAAAGATTTACAGCCTTGGAAACCCTGTTACAGGGTCGCTATGAGTCAGAGGTCTTACAGGTCAGCCCCTGAGGATCATTAGGCCTCCAGCCTAAAATGTCAATTTTACTTCGTGTCTCTCTAGACATGGGGGGAATTTGATGTTCATCAGAAACCTGACTGGATATAGCAAGCGCAAACTCTTTAAAGAGCTCCAAAATCAGTCAGCCCTAGCTATTCCGCGAGCAGATGTCTGGTGGTATTATGGGAAACAATTATTCGGGGCTTTACCAGCAAATTGGAGTGGCACCTGTGCTTTGGGGCAATTGGCCATCCCTTTCACCCTGGCAGTCCATCAACCAACAACTACAGGAAACAGGCATAAAGCCAAAAGAAGTGTAGTTACTCCCTGAGGGGTGCCAAACAAATTCAAAACAAGAAACCAAATAGCTGCAGGGTTTGAATCTGTATTATTCTGGTGGTCAGCCATTAACAAAAATGGATTAACTGGATTAACTACATCTATTATAATCAACAAAGATTTGTGAATTATACCAGGGGTGCTATAAAAGGAACAGCAGAACAATTAGGACCTACTAGCAAAATGGCCCTGGAAAATAAGTTAGCCCTAGATATGATATTAGCAGAAAAAGAAGAAGAATGTATCATGATCAAAGT